TTGTCCACATACACACAAATTCAAACTTCTTAAGTGAAGCCAAAACTCACAGATTTGAAAATAAATTCTTCTACATATAGCAACGTAGTTGCTGCATGATGGCATTTTAACAACATGACATATGTGCTCAATATTCAGGCAATTTTGCTTTTATGTAGGAATACAACCACAATATACCGAGGTGGCAACCAGCTGAGTCAAATCCCCCATTTCACAAAGCAGATGAGTTGGACTCGTTAGCGCAGACTGACTCGGGTTGATTGCACCATGTTGGCAATTATTTGCAAACCATTGGCAGTCTGTCTGAGTCAGTCAAGGATTATCTCGAGACAGGTTACCACCCATCAGGTGACCTGTGCAGTCAACTTGAGCTTAAAGTGGTTGACTAGAGGTTGAGGGTGTTGCAAGGTGAATCTCTGGACAACAGTTGGTTGCTGCAACTACTTGCAAATGGACACAAAAATATTAATTAATTAAATCATCAGGCAACCACAGATTTTTATTTAGCTTCAAGAACGTTGATGTCTATTTTTACTTTAGTGGGATTGAGCCATACAGTGATGAATGATTTAGTTTGTCTTTATTAGTAGATATACTGATATCAGCTAAACAGGTAAAACAACTCCATTTCGTTATATTTCTTTCATTCTTTAATACTTTGTGTTTATTCTTTATATATTTTTTAAACTTTTTTTTATTTGTAAAAATAGCTAACTTTAACAATAGGCTAACGAGTGCCATTAGCTAATTTAACAGTTCTAGTTTTTTCCACAAAAAAGTGCAGCTCTCTGGTGGACAGGATAGGATTAGCTTTCGAATAGATGGGTATCACTGTCCTGACTTTTTGAAGACAGAATGACCACATTTAAACAGGATAACTTCAACTTAAGTTTTCTTGTTTAACATTTAATGCTAATGCTTGCTAACATTAACTAAAAATATTAGCTAGCATGGTTACCAGGGCACTAGCAGAATTTCTCTATGAACTTAAGTAATGGTGTTTGTCAAATAATTATATTTAAAAATGTTCCAAAGGGCACACTAGAGAGAATATGTTCAAGAAGTCTAGTTTGGTTACCTGAATTACCAGAGGGGAAGCTTCTTTTTTTTTTTAACCGCTGAAAGTTTCTGTTTGCTGCACACGTTCAAGAACAAGCTAAATTTTGACCTAACACCTCGCAGACTCGGAGAAGTTTATGTCTCAAAGTATACATGTTCACAACTTAAACTCTAACCTTTCTGGCTATTAGATATTTAGCATGGATTTGCTTTTCCATAACATTTTTCGAACTAAAACCATCCACCTCCTTCTGCTGAGAACAATTTGGCTCCCACTGTTGAGTTGGTTAATTATTCTCTTAGGCCTCATGATTACAGTTGACTAATTTCATATCTCACAG